CTACCTACCTTCCTAACCTACCGTTACCTTCCTACCCTTCGTACGACGTCCTACGTCCTACTACTCCTCCTCTCCTTCCTCTCTCCTCCTCTCTCTCTCTCTCTCTCTCTCTCTCTCTCTAAAGAAGAACAAGACGAGGTAGAGCAGCTTTCTTCGATAGAACTGCAAGCTCTCTATCTTAAAACCATCTAACGCCAGAGCACACTCTGTATGTTCCCATTCAAGCAGAAATCTTCAAAGTTCAAAACCATTGGCAACGTATAACCCAAAATGTCCCACATGAGCATCAACAACAATGCAGAGCAAAGAATGTTCAGATTCTTATTGCGAGACTCGGAACATTATAAAGTATATTCTAGCAAGAGAAAGAGTGAGAGAGAGATCTGAACTAAGATGGTCTCCAATTTCGTTCTCAATGTTGAATCCTTTGATTGATCTGGTATAAAATTTGGCACTGCGGTACAAATGTCTTGAAGTAAAGGGGATCTTCCTTTCCATCATGCTTTTATGGTGCTAGTGAGATGTTTAACTAAAAATAGTTCAGGATTCAATGAAGGACATTGTACATTGAACATAGGTCTTTTGTGTTCTGTTATTATCTCCTAACAAAATCAAAATTCGAGGTGTTCTGTTCTCCCCAATGGAACTACTCTAAGTCAAGTGGCAGCTGATTTGTGGGTTTCTATGCCAACCAAAACAGAGATTTGTTGTTCTTTATTTGCTTTTTTCATTTTCCTCTGCAGATGGCAACAAGGTTGGTGAGCTTGATCATGCCACCTTGTCACCCAGTGACACCACGAAGGCAAGATGAACATAGATGAACCACTCTACCTGGTATTTCTTACGACAGAGAAATGGGAGGGGATAGGTTGCCTTGTACTTTTAGAGAGAAAAGAGACTGCTTCTCTATTCTCTCTTCCTACAGCCAAACAGTTTATAAACACAATAAAATAAAGTACCAACAATGTTTTAAAATGCGGGATGCAGCCAAAAGCATTGGGGGGGCCGATGCAGCTCGATGCGATCCCGATGAGGGTGCATCATGGCAATGCAGTCAATAAATATAAAAATTCTAAAAAATCTAAAAAAATAGGGTAATGCGCAGAAAAAAAAATGGAGGTGATATATGTGATAGTAGGTATTTAGATTATTCATCAACTCCAAAAGTATTGGCTCTCGGAGATTATGTATCCACTATCCCCTGCTAGAAACTAGAAATTGAAACTAGTTTCATAAAACATTTAACACAACCATAAGCACAAATCTGCAACCAAAATCTTTCAAGTTACAAATTTTATAAACTCTTTAATCTTGAAAAGAGTCCATGAAATCCATGAAGTTCTTCGACTCGATTTTGTATACTTTTTATAAACTTTATAAGTTTATAAAATGTTGTAACTTTACCATATCAGAGCATTTATGAAGGTCAATCAATTTATAAAGTCATTAATTTGTAATTTTACACTATTAGTCCATGAAACTCTATAAAGTTACAAATTTTATTTGAAAAGTACTGGGAAAAGTTCTTCAATTTGTGACTTTTAATCTTCATGGACTTTTAGTTTGTAGTATCTTGTATTACAAATTGAATACATTAAACAAATAAAGCTTCCGCCCAAAATTTATTTTTGATTCAATCGATCCAATAAAAGCCACGGATGTGGCTAAAAAATGTTGTTTGGGTAGTTTAATACCCCGTAAAACCCTTTCCCCCCAGTTTCAAAGGTCAAAATGACCTTATTGCCCCTGCCCGAGGGTTACAGTTTTTAAAAAAATGGCGGACAGATTATGCGGCCTGATGCGGACGATGCGGGATGTGGCTCTAATGCAGAGGGATGCGGCTCTGATGCCGCACATCCCTCCAAACTGCATATTCAGGAAAGTGCGATGCGCAGGGTGGCGCATAGCGCCTTATGCGGCCACATATGCGGTAATGCAGCCACATATGTGGCGATGCGGCCGCATTTTGAAACACTGAGTACCAATATTTCTGAGTTCAGCGTGAGGTAACTTGTGACTCTTTCTAAATGAAAAGAATTTTCAATCATGCATCCAAACTGGCTATACCAGAAATGATATAAATCACTAAAATAGCCTCAACCAAACAGATATAACCTGACAAATACAAACATAGTGTTCTGTAGAACACCTGGCTGTGCCTGGGCAGGCAGGGGAGGCTGGCCACCTAGGTGGGTGTCTCAATTTTGAGATGTCCCAAGTACCAACATATACACACATGTGGCCAATGTATATATACAAATAGATGCATACAGAAACATTAAACAAATGTAAACATGAAACAGCAATCACATTGATTAACATCTCTTTCGAATCTTTCCATGTTCATATTTGAACAAAACGGTAAGCAATCTAGCAATGAAAACAAGAACAACTAGTTGTATATTAATGCAATAATAAAAAAAAAATGTACAACAACCACAGATTATTTGAAAGCTACAGATTGAATTTCCCAAATGTATGCAACAATGGAAAGAGATGTATGACAATGCAATAAGAAAAGTATGATCTTTTTCTTTCCAAAAGTCACTGAAAATTTTATGATGCAGACCACCAATCCAGGTTGAGAAAAGAGTAATTGAGATAACATACGCAGTAAAATCAGCTGAACCTGATGCAGCACGCAGTGCATTACTATCCAGGCAACAACTCCAAACAGCACCCTTATGCCCTTCAAAAGTTCCAATCCAATCCCCAGTCTCTCCATTTCTCAGCATAGGACTAGAATCTGGCACCACAAATCATGTTAATTATAATGCTTAAAGGTAAAGATTGCAGCAAAGGTATAATTTTCCCCTACAATATAAAAAGTAGCAAACAGAAAGCACAAGCCATGTTAGACACCACTAATATGAAACTTAACTAAACATAGGAAATTAAAAACATATTAAAAACAAAAATCAACAAATCAATAGCCTTCTCCAAAACACATCAAAAATAACCTGGCAAGAAGCAATTATTGACAATGCAAACAACAAATTAGAGTACATAAAGAAAATCAGAAAATGTGGTTTGAAATGAATTGATATATAATAGTGAAAAAGATCCTAGACAAATTCCATAAAAGAAATAGAATCATCCTTTTTGGGATTGAGATCATCCTTTTTTTGTTGCATGATGGCCACGGATTAAACAGAAGTTTCATTGAGCCTGACAAACAATCCATAATGCAGTTCGTAAAAGTCGAGATGGAGTCTGATAGACCAACCAACAAATGACAAGAAGTCTGAAGCCAATTGCCACTAGAAAGTGGTCAGAGTTAGATTAGAAGTGCAAGGGGCCATTTGGGTACTTCTGCACTTGAAAACTTATTACCATGAAATGGATTACAGGGAAATGCTATGGCTCCTGCATTTGAGTAAGCATTGAAATGTGGGAGACAAAAATAAATTACCAAAGATTACCACAAAAGGCTCCTTAATTATGAAATCTATTTAGGGTGGAAAATACACTAGGGAACCTGACAGGTAATGTTGGACCCGCTGAAAACATTAAATCCCCTCCAGGGCTACGAGGTCCGTGTAAAAAAGAAGCCCAGCACCTTCTTTCTATACCTCTCGCTCCCCAACGCCCCCTCGCCCCCTCTCTATCTATTTGCCAAGAGCAGGTTGCAGAGATGCTTTATTTTGGGCTGCTTGCTAACAAGCCACTTCCTACCTCAAATGTGCACACCCTACTTCTTTCCTCCCCTTAATCATGTTGCCATCGTCCATGGAAAACTCATGATCCATCATCATCATCAGAGCCTTTCCTTATTTGGGGTGAGCTACACGAATCTTGGCCTGCTATTATGCTCTATCAAGGGTCATACCCTCGATGAGGCCATAAGTCCCCATATTTTTTCTTACTACCTCCAATCATGTATTTTTGGACCTACCCCTTGCGCTTTTTGAGCCTTCCTCTTGAACTGACTTGTACCTCCTATCAGGTGTTGTATTGTCTACGCTATACACATGGCCAGTGCACCTAAGTCCACTTTCTCTCATCTTATCGCCTATTGGAGCCACACCAAAGCCCTTTCGAATATATTCATTTCGAATTCTATCTCTTCTTGTCTTGCCACACATCCATCTCAACATCCTCATCTCAGCTACACTCACCCTATGGGCATATTGTTTCTTGACCGCCCAACATTCCACCTCATAAAGCAAAGCTAGTCTCACAGTTGTCCTATAAAACTTGCCATTTAGCTTCATTGCTATGCAGCTATCACATAAAACTCCGATTGTACATCTCCACTTTGCCCACCCAGTTCTAAATCTATGTAAGACACTTATCTACTCTTATTATTATTAAACTTGCATTCTATGTACTTTGTATTAGTCCAACTAATTTTAAAACCTTTATATTCTAAAGTATCCCTCCAAAGTTCTAACTTTGTATTGATGCCGCTTCGGGTCTCATCAATCAAAACTATGTCGTCTTAAACAACATACACTACGATACCTCATCTTGTAGGTGCCTAGTTAAGTCGTCCATAACTAAGACAAAGAGGTATGGACTCATTGTTATCTAATGTAGACCTATTATCACTGAAAACTCACTCGTCTCTCCACTAAATGTTCGCACACTAGTTAGCGCTCCTCGAACATGTCTCTCACCAAGACGATATAAAATCTGGAGACTATTTTCCTCTCTAACACCCACCAAATTAAATCTCGAGGTACTCTATCATAAGCTTTCTCTAGATCAATAAAAACTATGTGGAGGTCTTTTCCCTTCGCCCTAAACATCTTAACCAGTTGTCTAAGTAGGAAAATAGCCTCAATTGTCAACGTCCTTGGCATAAAACCGAATTGGTCATGATCCAAAACCCACAAATTTCCCTTAAAAATGGCATCAGTGATTAATTTCTCCTTAAAAATGGCATTAGTGATTGACAAGGTCAAAGGATTGTTCTTCATCTTGTTAGCACCGAGATTGATGCATGTAAGTCTATTTTTGAATTCAACTGTTGTAAAGAGGATCAATTTACATTTTTTTGTTTGTTTTCTTATGTCTTTTTGCCAGAACTCTCTCTCTAAACTCAAACTTGTGTTGTTTCTTCATTTGGTTTTGTATGTGCATGGAGTAGATTGAAGGGAAAATTTCGTATAGAACTCTAATTCCTCGTATTATTTCATAGTAGACCCTTATTCCGTTTGTCTTTCAAGCGACATAATAAAACCCCTAAAGATTTCACCATACCCCTTCACCTCTTATCTCCCTCTTTTATTGACTTTTGATCATAAAAATTAACCCTAACAAATCTTTTTATACCATCTCAACCCAAAAAAATTTAAATTGATGGAAGGAAAAGAGG